CAGGGTTGGAAAGCACTGTCTTCAAGAACAGGGCCAACCCAGGTACGCGCCTAAGGTTGGAGGGGCAAAAGTGGGCCCCCAGCTCACATATGGACCAACTCACCAGGGTTTACCACAGCAAGCACTTGTTTTGAGTCTCCTTTGCACACACACCATTTGGGGACTGGTGGTGGTCCTTGGCTGGTCAGGGGTCTTCCCATCGATTTTGTCAGCATGTGGTAGAGCTCAGCAGAGAGGAGCTTGGGATCTGGGGATGGTTTCCCCTAGTCCTCGGGTTGTGAGTGTGGCCACATCTGCTGTGGGCAGAACCTTAAAAGGAGCGAGCAAGGGTTTAGTATTGGGGGAGAATCTGGCAAGTGGAACCTGAGACTGGCAGGGGCAGGTATCCACGGCGGGGGCAGGAGTGGGGATGGGGACGGGCTCTCCCAGAACCCTCCAACCAAGAGAGCACTGCGCTTCGTGTGAAGGGGAGCAGCTCCCGCATTGGGACAGTATTTGCTGACCCAGCTCTCACGTTGATTCTGAGCGCCAGCTTGGGCTTAAAAACACTTGAAGTTTGGGTTGGCAGAAAGTACCACCAGCACCTTTTTCCTTCCTTCTTCCATTTCTTGGCCAAGGCTGAAATGTTGGCATGCTGCCCAGCTTTGGTTATGATCTTGGACTTGGGGAATTCAGGGGGTGGATTTAAACAGCCAGGTGGTAGATTCATCAATGAACAGACAAAGTGGAGATCAAAGGATTAAAAATACATACTGGGGGTATTGTCTTCCTGGAAAGAAGTGAAGGGGAAATCTTAATGTAACTGCCACAAACCCAGAGCCAAGGAATAACATTAAAATGAAATGTTCAATCCCTTGAATACTGTTTGTAGGAATCGTATTGCTCATTAGCTGTGGAAGAAATGTAATCACAGCAGTAAGAAAAAAAAACCTACTTCAGGAATTTATGTGCAGATGGAAAATGTTGATGGTGGGTCAGTTGGGTCTTTCTAAACAATAATAAGGAGGAGGCCTAAAGGAATGTTCATGCAAAGTAGGGATAAACAATGCCTGGAAGGCTGGGGCAGGGTTAGGTGTTAAGAAGCAGAGTATTTAGAAAAAGTCACAGGGTTCTCTCTGGCCTTCAGATAGAAGTACCAATTTCACCATTGACAGTTTTCAAGTCAAAAATATTTTGAAAGGATTTCCTAGCTATGATGATATAGAAATAAATGAAGGGAAGGAATCAGAAGGAAGCAGTTTAACGTAGTAGTGTTAAAAGATAAACTGAGGCATAGTAAACATTTAAAGAGTTTATTTGAGCAAAAATTGATTCAGACCAGTTAGCCCCAAACTAAAAGGTTTGGTGGTTGGGATGCCCCACCAACAGGAGCTCAGGGAGAGACTTTGGTACAGCAGACAGGGAAGCAAAGTGAGGAAATTACTGATTTACAATAGCCCAATGCCTAGTTGGTTGTGTGTGACTGGTTGTCTTCAGGTTTCAATTTTGTAACCTAGAGGCATTACAGGTGGATTTGGTTTGCTTCTCTGGCAAAGGGGGTGGCAGTGCATACATGCAGAGATGACTCCTGCCTGTGTGCATAGGCCCCAGTTGGGCCAGCAGAGAGTAGATGAGACTGGGACACCTGGTGGACCTCTGATGCAGAGGGGGTGGGAGGGCTAGAGCTACGGGAGGGAGTCCCTCATCTGCAGGAGCCTGGGGGGGCCCCCACCTGTCCACACCAAGCCTACAGACCATGAGCTAGGTCACCGTAGAGAGCCAAGGGAAGAGAGACCCAAAAGACACCGCAGCCAATCACATAAAGAGCCGTCTGTGCTCTCTGTGCCTTCCACCCTGATGCCAAAAGGCTGTACCCTCAGAACAAGAGAGGGCTGTAAGAACAAGGAGACCATGCCCCCCGACGCCGGCCTTAAAGGTATGTGCTGCCTGGCTGCGCGGGGGCAGGGAGGTAGGTTGGTGGGGTCTAACTTGAGTGAGAGATAAGACCTGGGATGAAAAGTTAGGGAATCAGGCTGAGGTGGCATGAGGGGAGGCTGCCTCCTAGTGGGGATACAACAGAATTGCCAGCGAATGCCAAGGACTCTCCTGTCCTGGCTCCTGCCCCCAGGAGCTATTCTCACCTCAAGTCTAACTCAGCCAGGGTCATGTCTCCCAATGGCAATGCTGAGACTGGAGCCTGGAAGACTGAAGCCTGTCACCAGCAGCCACATCGGGGTGTCCTCGCTGTGGTTGGAAGGCTAGGAGACCCGATGCGGGACTCACAGTGTGAGCTGGTTGGTCTCAAGTTCCCGAGAACCTTCCTCTGCTCTAGCACCGTGGAGAGTGTGGGAAGAGGTTAGCTCCAGTCGTGCCCAGCATAGGAGAGAGATTGTCAGAGCGGTGGGTGGTGTGACAGCCCAGACTAAGCCGAACCCTTTGCCCGAGCAGGTGTGCAAGCCCATGGGTTGAGGAAACATGAGTGTGATTGAGCAACGGAGGGATGGTTCTGGTCCAATGCTCTCGGCAAAAGCAGCCCTGTGGCTGCTTTTGGAAGGATTCCAAACCAGCCCTGCTCTTGCCCTCTCTCCCTTCAAGTTCTCTGAGGGGAACACTTGATCCTCGGCCCCACCCCCAGCATGAGAACAGCTCAGTCCCAGGAAAGGTCCTGCTTCTGGGGCAAAGGCACCTCCCTGTCAGGTAGGCCTCGATGGCAGGCAGGCGGCTGGCTCTGACCTGAACTTGCTGACACCGACCTGGCCTGGTCTTGGCTGAGAAGTTTCCCCACTCGGACATTGTCTCTTGGACTCTGGCCTTTTATTATTATTACTGTTGTTGTCACTATTTTTATTTATTTATTTGAGCGCAGGGGAGGGGAAGAGGGAGAGAGGGAGAGAGAGAATCTTAAGCAGACTCCCCTCTGACCACAGAGCTGAACCTGGGACTCAATCTCACGACCCTGAGATCATGACCCGAGCTGAAATCAAGAGTCAGACACTTAACTGACTGAGCCGCCCAGGCGCCCCGGACTCTGGCCTTTTAAACCCATCCTCAAGAAAAAGCAACTTCAGACTGAGGAATGTGGATCTAGAAGAGGGATTTGTGGAAGCCTAGTCAGGGGGGTGACCTGGGCCACATCTTGCTTCTCAAGGCCCGTGACTCCCCAGCGCCTGGCTCTCCTTTCTCCCCAGTCAGGGTCCTGCTCTGCAGTGTCTCTCACTGCCCCTCCTCCCTCTTCCCGTCCTCTCCTAAAAGACTGGAAAAGTCCTTAGAGATTTTTCAAGTAAGTAAATTATGCATTTTCAGGACTCACTCTGGACCCTGTCTTCTCTCTATATTCTGTATAGGTCAGCTGGCGTTCCCTCGCCCCATTCAGTACCTCCACACACTCATGCCACTTAAATTCACGTCCAGCCCAGAACTATGGTCTAATTTATCCACTGGCCCATTTGATATCTTCATTTGTGTGTCTCACGAACATCTCACACTCAGGATCCCTCAAACTGAACTTCTAATCTCCCTTCAGTAAATCCTAATGGCTCTAGCTCCAAAATACATATCCAGTGCATCTACTTTTTCCCCATCTCTTCGGCTCCTGCTCTTGCTTGACCTGCGTCTTTCCCACTGAACTTGCCTTGGCCACTTTTTCCCTGGTATTGGCTCTTAATGTGCCTCAACTCATTCTCCAAAGAACCACCAGAGTAATCAGGTTAAACTGCGCATTAAATCATTTTAGTCTCATATGTAAATCTCTTAATGGCTACTTACTGTATTCAGAATGAAATCTAATATTGTACTATGACCTGGCCCCCATCTGCCTGTGCAGGCCATTAGTGCTGCTCACCTGTGCCTTCCGTTTCTTCTCTCCTTCCGGGCACCTGGGATGATTGCATACCCTTGAAGTGAAGATAGGACCACAAGACTTGCTTGGGGCCATGAAACGTAAGTAGAAGTGATTTGAAAGCTAGTGCGTGACTATTAGTGCACTTTCTTCTCCTGCTACAGTGATTAGGGAAACCAGTGTTGATACTGTAGGTGCCATGAGACAGAAGCAGCCTGAGCTCCTGGCAGTACATGCAGAAGAGCTGCCCTGGGAAGTCTGCCCAAATCCACGTGGACTTTTCATGAGTGAAGAAGAGCTGCTGTTGTGAGCTTGGAGGGTTTGTTTCTGCAGCAAAACATAGCCTATCCTGACTGATACATTGTAGAAAGAGGGGTTACTTGTGGCAGTCCTCTTTAAAACAAAGCAAAGGACAAAGGGTTTTCAGAAAACCTCCTTGTTTTTCATTTGACTAGAAAAAAATTAACAATGGCTCTTACTGATTATTCGCAGAAGGAATTGCAACAAATCCCCAAATTGGAGTGGATTTCTGGGTGATCCAAGAAGCAGGCACATATGTATTTTTGCCAGGTAATGACACACCTGGTTAACCACTCTGGGTGTAGATTGGCCAGACTGGATCACCACTGGGGAAAAAAGAGGAAAATACAAGTGAAACTTTACAGAGAGATTATCTGATGTGAGGGAAAGGCACCTTCGGTGTGTTTAAATGTCATTACTAAGGTTAAACATTAACCAGGAAAGACCTACTCTCTTCCCAGCACCCGGGCAGTATCACCTGCTTCCCTTTGTCTTAAGTTTAATGGATCCCAGGGAAGATCTGAGTGCTTCAAATTTGGCTGAAAAGGGAGTTTGTGGGGGATACATATTTTCCAAGCAGGAGAATTTCCTTGTTTCCTGCTCAGGCTCCTCTTAACCATATATCTTCAATGACCCGCACTGTTTAATAAGAACTTAATTAGGAGAGAGAGAGCAAGGGAGGGGGGGTGAGACAACAGACAAATGGGATGGATGGATGGATGGATGGAAGGGCGGAAGGGCGGGGAGACGAGAGGGAAGGAGGGAGGAAATACACCTGTAATGACATTGGAACGTGCAGTCTCAGTGGAAGGGGAAGAGATGACCACCCTTCCTAAACACACAAAACAGTAGGGTTTTGTTTTTTATTTAAACCCACAGTGACCATACTTTGGGAGCCTCAGTTGAAATGGTATGGTCACTACCAATGAATGTAGTGACTTCTCAGTGAGCTGGTCTCCAGACACTGTAACCAGAAAAAGGCAATGCTCAGAGCTCATCTTCTCCAGATCATGTGAGAAATCATCAGAAGATATTGAAAACAAGACTGCCCACACCCATTGGCTCCAGGGCCCTGCTAAGGCATTCCTTTGGCTAGGGTGCCGGTGTTATGCTTCAAACTTCCCATTTCTAGGGACGGAAATGTCCTACTGGACCTCTCCAAGGAATGGGCATCTAGGGCTCCATAGTCATGTCTTTATATACAAACACAGTAGGGCCACATTGATCGGACAGCACTCTTTCATCCTAGACTGTGTGAGATCTGGCCTAGGCAATGTCTTCTTTTTTGAAGGACAAGACCATGTGTCCACCATGAAGTTCAAAATCCCTACAACTGAGTCAGTCCCGTTCTTGCTCATAGCTAGAGGCCCGAGTCATGGCTCTGCCTCCTGGGTTCTTTGATGAGGCCATCGATGGTTTCAACAGATATTTGGCTGAGTAGAAGACTTCAGGCTGGGCCATACAAGCCCAGGTTCCTGGCAGTTTGAGAGATCCTGGGAGTTTTCCTCTGGGGAAATGGATAGTGAGCTGGTTTTCCAGACCAGTGTGAGTTCTTTTTGGAAGGAGGAGGCTGAATGTCCTTATTTAAGCCAGATCCCACTGGCTTTATTTCGGCATTGCCCACCAGACATTCACGCTGGGCTGTTTGTAGGATGGTCGTCCCTTGCTGAGTCATCTGATTGTTTCCAAACAAGCCTGGGTCTCCTTCCTGAGGGAGCCTTTGCTCAGACCCCATGAGCTTATCCTTGTGTTTTACTGGAAGACTGGTTTCCTGGTGGAAGGTTTGGATGCAGCGGTACATCTCTAGGTGCGTGTGCCATGGAGACTCAGGGGCCCGAAGACAGCCTCTGTCAGCCTCCTCCAGCATCCCCTCTGCCTCAGGATCTGCCTCCTCCAGGGACAGTGAATGCCTTCTCTCCTTGTTAATCCAAACAGGACTGACCATGGACTCAGCAGGAACAGGCGTGTACCCTCCTGACAAAGCAAGGCACAAGCAGGGTCACCACTGGGACGTACAAGGGCAGCTCTGATTTTGGGGGTTTCAGAGCTTTCGAGCCGTAGGAATGCTATCCCAAAATGTCACGGAAGTCAGGTAGTCAGTACACTGCATGTGTGCACATACACATACATGGATCGCACATGATCCCACTTGCATATGCTCACACGTGTATACTCCCTCCCATGCCCACACATATGCTCTCTAACACACACTCATGCACAAGTATTCATTCATTCAACAAGTATTTATTGAGCACTTATTACGTGCCAGCCATTATTTATTCTAGGTTCTGGGAATATGGCAGCAAACATTGAGACAAAAATCCCCATCTTCACGGATATATTCTAGTGGGGTAGAAAGATGTAAGCCAACGAATATATTATAATAAAATTGCAGGTGGTAACCAATGCTATGAAGAAAAACTCAAGCAGAACAGAGTTTACTAACAGACTCCAGTTCTTAACTGCAGTGAGGGAGTGACCCCAGCATTCCAACTGAAAGAATGGTACGGACTCACATGCACACTGGCCAGTGGAAAAGAATACTCTTCAGTTATGGGGTTTTGTGTTCTGGGATTCCCGTAATGGTTTACCGCCCAAGGTGGAGGAGGGAGGAGCTGTATTTCAAAGCAGCTCCTTTTGAAGCACTGGCCCCTTGCCTTCTCCCATCCCACAGACACTGTTCTGGGAACACATTTATAGCACCTCCTGCTTCTCCGAACTGGCTGTAGGGATGAGGACCCAGACCAACGTCTCTCTTCTTTCTCAGGGTTTTGTTGTTGTTTTTTTTTTTTTTTTTACCACCTTATGGCACACGACAGTTTATGGTTGACCCTTGGTGGCAAAGACGGTTGTGGGAATGCCTGAAAGGTGTTCCAAAGCCTGCAGTTAGTTGCCGCTGAATCCTCAGCGGAGCTCCCCTGAGCATTCTGGCATTTGTCACGGCGGGAGGCCCTGCATGCAGGAGGGGAGAGACTGAGGTGCTGGGGTATGAAGGCAGAGGGAAGGCCCTGAGCTCCCGGTCTGGGAGTCTGAGAGAAACAGGACTGGTGCGGCCATCTCTGCAAACAGTGGAGGGCCTGAAAATGTGTTCCCACTTCAGGACTACCGGATTTTTCTCAGCATGACAAACACGGACACCCTTACAAAAAGTCAAAATGTTATGTGCTTATTTGAGAACAGAGGAAGAGGGGACGTGATGGGAGAACCTAGGAACTAGTATCCTCTCCATTATGTCCACGTGGACAGGCAGGTCTTGGTTGCAGAGAGGAGCCTCCTTAGCTGTCAGTCCCAGCCTGGGGTCCGCAGGGGACAAGGAGAAAGACAAAGTGGGAGGGACACCTGGACCCTGACCCCCAAACAGATACTGCTGAGTGGTTGACCTCGCCTAGAAGTCAGAAGTCTTCCCTGACAAAGCAGAGTCTAACCAGAGCTTCTGGCATTAACTTGCCTTAACTGATCACCTGATGCTAGCTGCAGGGGGTGGGGGGAGTGCACTGAGTTACAGAGCCTGGGAGAAAGAGCCAGAGGGAGGGTTGGGGCAGGGAGTGGTGAGTTCTGTGGGGCATGTCGACTTGGACTGTCTTTGGGATGTGCCCATTACATGGATCTGTAAGTATGAATTGTGGGTCTGTTAAGCATTTAAGCACTTTCATTTGAGAGTGGTTTAATTTAATGTTTGCTGAATGACTGAATTAATAAACATGTTTGAGGATGGACTAGGTAGGGCTTTACAAACCTTTCAGTGTATACCCTGCAGAGATGGAGGGCTATTTGGCTGTGCCAGTTCGGTTCAAACAGAACCCACTGGCTGGCAACAGCCCAAGTAACGGGAGATGGGCACCTTCAGCTCCGGGGTACCACTTTTGTCTCCAAAAGGCAGCACTCTTCCTGCCCCGGATGGTGATGTCCCTCTGGCCCCTGATTCCTTCCCAGCTGGCCTAGTGCTGGGCGGGCCATTCAATGAGTCCTGAAGTGTACAAATAACCACAAAAACCCCCCAGGCGCAGCCTTGACCTTCCCATCTCCCTTGACCCATTCATTCCTCTCTTAGAGGGAAGGGTGGGATGGAGCCTTACGCTCCTAACTTCCCCCAGGAATAAAATCTGAGTTCCCAGAGGGAAGAGGCATTCTCCCTTTGAGGCTTCTGTATCTCATGCCTCCTTGGAAGTTGTTTGAGAGTTGTTTGAGATGGTGATAAGCAAGCACCGTGAGCCAGGGTGCCTCCTGAGTCCCTGAGGCCTGTGCTTCCTCTGGCTGGCGCCAGGGCTGTTGGGAACACCACTTTGGCTCTCTCCAGAGCCAGTTCCTCAGCTTTGCAGGAGGTGAGACCCGGCGGGGAAGAGCTCCCATCGCCCCCCCCCCCCCGGCCCAGCAGGGGGCCAAGCCATAGTCCACTAGGCAGATCAGTCTGGTAAGGTGAGAACATAAGAGCTGAGGCCAGGTACGGCCAACAGCTGGCCAGATGCCTGCCTGAGGCCCCTGGAGGGGAACGGGGCCAAGCAGAGCGGCCCGGAACGGGCCTCCCCGCCCTGGCTCTGCTGGCATCCCTGCTCTTTCCCACCGGGAGGGCCCACAGGGCCCCGGCCTCCCCCTGGCCGCAGCCCACCACCCATTGCGCCCACGGCCAGGCCCCCCCTCCACTTTTGCCCCCAGCACCTGCCCAGCCCTACCTTTCGGGAGCACCACCAGGTGGGCCTGGGCCGTCTGCTGCCTTCGCAAGCCCGCGTACTGGGCTCGCAGGACCTGGATGCTGAGCGGGGGCTCTTTCCCCGGGGCCCGCGTCCCCGAGCCCTCAGCCATGAAGCAAGACCCCAGCAGCCGGAAATGCGGCCGGGCAGGGCAGGGGCAGGGCAAGCCCTTCATCTGGATCCGGGGGCGGGGATAAAGCAAACAGTGATGGGCGGGGCGTGGGAGGGGCGAGAAGGAGGAGCGGGGGAGGGGAGTGAGGGGAGCAGGTGGAAAGGTAAGGGGAAAAGGAGGGGGAGGGAAAGCTGAGGGGAGTGAAGGAAGGTGGAGCGGAAGAGGGGCTACCTGGAAAGTGGGGGAGGGAGTGAAGCAAGGGCAAGGGGAGGCAGACAGGTGAGGGGAAAGCGAGGCGGGGGTCAGGAACGGGGAGGGGAAAGGCAGGAGAGGGGAAGCGGGGAGAAGGAAGAGTCAGAGGGAGGAGGAAGATGGAGGAGGAGGAAGAAAGGGGTCCCCAAGAGGGAAGGAAGGAACAGGGGTCCCCAAGAGGAAGGGGGTAGGGCAAAGGGGGCTAACGGGATGAGAGAGGAGGAGGGAGGGACCTGGAGCGAGGGGCCGAGGGGCAGGGGGTGAGGGAGGAGGAGGGAACAGAAGGCAAGGCAAGCACAGCGGCTCCGAGTCCTCTGGGTGCCGGGGGAGGCGCTGGGCTCCAGGTCCTTCACCGCTCACTCCCAGGGTTTAGGGTCTAACTCCCAGAGTTCCTGTTTCCTGGCAGAGCCAGAGCCGATGCTGGGCCGTGCCAGGGGCCTGCTCAGCTCGCACCTCTTGGACTGAAACCTGGAATCTCATCAGCAAACCCGTCGGTTTGGTTTGCCTTGGAAAAGGCGCACCCTCTGCAGCCTCACGGAGCTGGCGCCTCAGGGATGTGCACGTGGCAGCCACGCCCGAGGGAACCCCAACAGGAAAGGTGCCCCCAAGTCTCCACTCACCCACCACACGCATCCCAGGAGAAAGCCCAGCCCCAAAGCCTGCCCTGGGGACAGAGCCCAGGGGAGCCCCAGCTCTCTGACATTTGCACCAGCCTCCTTGGTCTCAGCCTTCTCCAGCCCAGCAGGGAGCTGGTGTTTCTCTTACCCATAGCGAGGTGCGCCCTCAGCCCTGCTGTCCAACCCCACCAGCTCTATATCCCTTTGGAATCCTAGACCCTCTCTCCCCTGCGCCAGCTTGGATCTATCCTTGTGCCATCTGGTCAACAAAGTCCCTTCCTACTTGTCCTAACATGAGGCTTGCCGAGAACCAATTTCCCAACACACCTACAGAGGCCGTGGAAAGAGGGTAGTGGCTGAATTCTAGAAGCTGTTCTGGAGCTGAACTGCATGGGACCTAGTCACTGGGTGTGGGAGTGAGAGTAAATCGCCCCTGGGTAGTGTGTTAGTTTTCTAGGGCTGCTGTAACGAAGTGCCACAATTTGGGGAGCTTAAACAACAGAAATGTGTTGTCTTAGAATTTTGGAGGCCAGAGGTCCATGATCAAGGCATCAGTGAAGTTGTTCTTTTTCTGGGGACTCTGGGATAATCTGTTTTAGGCCTTTCCCCTGGCTTCTGTTGGTTTGCTGGCAATCTCTGGTGTTCCTTGGCCTGCAAAAGCATCACTTGATCTCTGCCCTTATATTCATATAGTGACTCCCTGTGAGCCTGTCTCTGTGTTCAGATTTCCCCTTTTATAAGAACAGCAGTTATGTTGAATTAGGACCCACTCTAAGGACCTCATCTTAACTAATTGAGTTAAGTTACATCTGCAATGACCCTATTTCCAATTACAGTCACATTCTGAGGTACTGCGGTTAGAACTTCAACATATGAATTTGGGGGGACACGATTTAACCCATATCAGGTAGATGAATGGTAGGTAGTTCCAGTCACAGAGCTAGGCCCGGGAGAGGAGCAGACTGGGGTGTGGGAGAGGAGAAGGGGTATGTTTTAGATGGTGTGCTAGGGGTGCCTATGGTCTTTGCGTCATCAGGAGGGAATCAGCAGCTTGGTAGAGACATGCAAATGTCGTCCTTGGTGAAAATGATACAGTTCGTTATTGGAAGAGTTGAATTGTACTGCTCTGAATATTCACGTACAGGTTTTTCTTTGAATACTTGTCTACAATTCTTCTGGTGACTCTTCCTAGGAGCGGAATTGCTGAGTCATATGGTTGTTACCTGTTGTTTTCATTGCAAAACTCCCTTGGCTATAAGTATATTGCATTTTGAGGATATTAAAAAAAATGTTTGCATTGTATGCTTTGGTTTTTCTGTTGATACGCCAAGAACTCTGCCCTAGAATAGGCTGGCCTTTGCAAGTTGGTGTGTTTGCTGTTTTGGAAAGGGGATAGCTGTTTATAATTTCTTATCATGCCATGACAGAATAACTCCCTGTCTAAAAACAAGATTTTGAGAGGCCAGGACACCATCTGACCTTTTCCCAACACTATTATGTCAGATGAATGAAAAGTCCAGGATAAAAATGCATGGAAGTTTTCCCAAATTTGTTTTGCTGTGGCCTATCAGCATCATTACCTGTGCAATTAGGACTTTATGTAATGAGCACATAATCTCGTTAGGTGAGCTGTGGAGGCAGTGTAGTGACCAGGTGCCGGGAGGCATCTCCCACCAGAACACTTGGGTTTTCATCCTGGCTGCGCCACTTACTGGTTGTGAAAACTCTTTTCTTAACCCCCCCATGCCTCAGTTTCCCCATCTGTAAAATGGGCCAATAATAGTTACCATTTACCCATCTATAAAATGGGGCTAATGTATGAAGTCCTTAGAACAGTGCCTGGCATGAGGTCAGCACTATAAGACCTTGTTGAAGGCACATTTACAGATTGGTCCAGATAATTACAATACCTTTAATCAAGATAATAAGTTAATAGTACAAGTTCTTCTAAAGAAGGATCTTGTTGATTTTAGTTTTGACAATAGGAGGCCTAAAGAATATTAAAGAATATTTCCCACCAGCCCCCAATATAAAGCATATAAAAGCTATTGAAGGAACACTCTGGGACACCTACTTAATAATTTCAAATGCCGAAAAAGAGGTATTACAAAATTTAAAAATAATTTTACTAATGTGCTATAAGAAAAACAGCCTCCACCTTTTGGCTTTGAACTTAAGATTCAGTTCATTTAACATGTATTCGTTCAACAAGTACTTATTCAGTTACTACAATCTTCCAGACTCACTAATCAATCAGTGCAGAATAGCAAATTCAACAGACATTATCTTCATGGAACTTCCAATGCAGTTTTGGGGAAAGAACAGTATTATTTATAAGAATACAATAAGTAATTTAAATTAACTAATGCATATATAGCATTTGGGGGAGTTCCCAACTTTTAGAATGTATGTAATAAATGTTACCTATGATTATTTATTATACCAATAATGATTATCATTCATCCAGTTTATTCACCTGTAAAAAAAAAAAATCCATCATCTTAAATTAAAGTTGCCTGCCCTCTAGTGGGGATTTTGAGTCATAACCACACAAACAACTGGGAAAGGTTGAGGGGTTTTGGTGTTTCTTCTGCTATTTAATGAGTTCTGGCTGGTTGGGATGCCCAGCAAGGTATCAGGCCCCACAAGCCTATAACTTCCTTCAGAAGGCTTCTTTATGCACGGTCGGTGCTGTGCGACCTCATCACCCTCCCTGGGCCCACCTATGACTTGTCAATGACCTACGAAGTAGCCTGGGGTAGATCTACTGAATAGGCCTACCCATACAGGAGGGAGACAGGCCCAACTAATCAGCCTGCAGATAGAGCAAGACCCAGCCAATGAAACAGATGGAAAGTATTTGAACCACGGTGGTGGCAGAGCATCAGGGCCAAGAATGCCTGCTACTGACCAGGCAGGGTTGCCCCCCATTCCCAAAATATTTCAGTAGCGGCTCCAGGCAAGTCCAAGTGGGTTTTGTGACTGTTGCCTTGTTCTCATCTTCCCTGAATATCTTTATCATAACCCTGAGTTAATCTACATAGTTCCAGTGTCAAAGAGCCTTACTAAAGATGCTTCCAATATGCTGTCCCATTTCATCCCTGCCAGCCTTCTGAGAAACAGGTATTATTACCCCCATTATAGGGGCTCAGAGAGGTTGTATGACCTACCCAGGGTGCCACAGCTAATAACTGGCAGCACAGAATTTGCACCCACTTCATTCTGCTATCAGAGCTTGAGTTCCTTCCCATAACCCATATCCTGTGGTACTGAAACCTGAGTCTAATGGGAGTATGAGATTAGGTATTCCTTCACTTTTTATTATTAGCAAAATCCTATTTTAAAAATATCTTGGTTAAACAACTTTAATCAGGTTCTCAGATAATGTTTTGTATGAGCTTTAAAAATAAGTTAACATCCAGGGGAGTACCTGGTAGAGTATGTGACTCGATCTCAGGGCTGTGAGTTCAAGCCCCATGTTGGGTACGGAGTCTTCTTAAAATAAAAAGTTGAAATAATACTAATAGTAAGTTAAGATCCAGGAACAATTTGATCCCTTGTTCCATAATCTGTAAATTTTCCTTTAATCAATTCATCCTGAATCTGATCATTGACCGAAAAGTCTTCCCTCGCAGTTTGGGCCCACGTTCTTAGGGACTGTTTTCTGCTTTCTGCAGTGTGATGGCTGCAGTCCGAAGGTGTTTAAACTAATTTGGGGGTTCTCGATCCTGACTGCACAGGAAGAATCACTCGAGTAACTTTTTACAGCTTCTTATGCCCGGGCTTCATCCCACACCCACTGGATCCAAATCACAGAAGGAGGGGGTGAGACATTGGTACTTTAATACTTGCCAGGTGCAACCAAAGCCAAGAACCACTGAACTATTTCAACAGTTACTTACCAAGCAGCCTAGCTTTGGAGAAACCTTTTTCTGCTCACAGGCCTGGCAGGTCTGTTTGCAGAGACGCATTGGTATAGGAGTGCAGGGTGGGGGATGTGGAAGAAGGGAATCTGCTTCAGGTCTCAGTTTCCCTGCTCCGAGCCCTCTGTCCAATCTCAACACCAGTATGTCCTCTGCACTGTGGCCCGTGAACTCGAGACCTGTTGCAAAGACTTGGGGAAGAAGAGCGAGCCTAATTTCAGAGACTGCCTGCCCAGACTGACCTGTCAATGTCGCCCTGTCAGGTTACCCA